GTTTGGTATGAAACCCGTGAGCTGGTCAGCATCATTAAATGAGTTATAGCACGTTCTGGTTCTATGGTGTTGTTGTTGTTAGCTGTGTCGCTCTATTGCGCATACATGGAGGAATGTCTCATGTTTATTTCAGCATCTGTAAGCTCACGACCATGCAAGGTATTTGCACCGTGCCGAGAATTGGCCCAGCGTTTTCGAATTAGTCACTCCCGCGTAACAACCAACATCGAATTGTTGATAATTCCAAGATGCCAGATGAACTGTGTTTTGTTTATGTTGATTCCTCAGGTGACTATTCTGAATACCCTTTCCACATGTTCACCATCCGACTGGCTTTCGTTCTCACAGGTTTCAGCATGGTATGTAGGCCGTGATTGTGACTGTCCTGAAATGTTCGATAGGACTCAATGGCGACCCCTGGAGGTCATATTTGTCCCCAAACCTGGTTGCTCTAGATACTTGGGGCGGCTGGTGCCGCGTGATTTGTAGTAGCATCCAGTGGTATTTGAAGAAAGTCTTGTAGTGTATGTACCTGAGCACGAGCTCAGTGTTTCATATCCATTAAGGTGGGGTGATACACGCACATATACCTTTGAGCTTGATATGTATCAGCATGCAGAGGTACTTGGAGACACTGCCTGTGTGGGTGTGCACTGGGATGTGTGAGCTGATGATGCGTTGATATAGGCGACGATTCGAAATGGGTTTCTGATAGGAATTACGTGCGAGTGAGTGCAAAAGGCGCCAGTGATCTGATTGTTTCGCGTGATAGCAACTACTCGCATTTGCAGTGTATACAGCTCTGCTTAGTTGCATTTCATATTGTATCGTGCCCCGTGTCCATCAAAGTACAGAGAGGTTGGCCCCATTTGGCGAGTACTATTCGCGGCTGTTGCCATCACGCGGCAGTTGTTATACTGTGTGGTACGCTACACTCAATCATACCCAGATGCGCCCCAGCCAGGTAAAGCAAGTGCACACTCGAGTACTACCACTGCCCTGAGACCCCACTCCTCGTGTTATTTCTCCCGGTTAGGTTATATGTTATTCTTATTTGTATTAGTATAGTTCTCTTTCTGTTGTTTGTCTGTCCATTGACAAATAGATACGCTCCAAGGGATGGGTGCTCCCTATTATTTGTATTAGTATAGTTCTGCTCCTGTTGTTTGACTGCCCATTGACAAGTAGATACGCTCCAAGGGATGGGTGTTCCCTATTATTTGTATTAGTATAGTTCTCTTTCTGTTGCTTGTCTGCCCATTGACAAGTAGATACGCTCCAAGGGATGGGTATTCCCTATTATTTGTATTAGTATAGTTCTGCTTCTGTTGTTTGACTGCCGATTGACAAGTAGATACGCTCCAAGGGATGGGTGTTCCCGTCACCTCTAATTGTCTCCGCCAATAGTGTCTCGCCCCACAGCAGTCCCAGCTGATCTGTTCGTCCCAGTCAGGTGTTGAAGTGCTTGCTGTTGATCTGTGGGGGAGAGACCTTCTTTGTGTGTAGAGTCTACTGGGGGCGTAGTAAGTATGTATGCGCTTGTTTATTGTTGTACTAGCTACCTGTCTGCATTTCTTAAACATATTGGCTCTGGATTGGTTCCGGGTCGAGGGCTGCTGACCGGTTTAGACCCGTTGAAGAGGCATATAACCCGTTGTGTTGTGCGTGGTAGTCGGCCATCAGGTTTGAAGTGTTTGTCCTTGCTTCCAAATCTCGGACACGTGAACTTGGAATGCCCTCTGACATCCAAGTGTCACCAAAAAGAGGCAGTGCGTACCTACCAGCTATATGCAAGATGATGTTTTAGGGGTTAAGACCCTAAAACCCTAGGTTGTACACTGGTACTCAATCAATATTCAAAGTGGCTCTACCTCACCGACCCTCTACAACTGCCTTATACCCACCCACATCGGACATATCGCTATGTCGCACTCTTACTATCCATGATACCTACCAACACCCCTCACACTGATCCTCTACAACTGCGTTATACCACCCACATCGAACATATCGTTATGTCGCACTCTTACCATCCATAATACCTACCAACACCCCTCACACTGATCCTCTACAACTGCCTTGTACCCACCCACATCGAACATATCGCTATGTCGCACTCTTACCATCCACAATACCTACCAACACCCCTCACACTGATCACTTATCATCTCCATCCATCCCCTCCCACCCCAGGAAGCCTACGTCCAAATGGAACTGGACGACGGCCTGCCATCAGAGCTGATGATTTTGTTTGCTGTGAGCTCTACTAGTCTGATTGCCGTCAATCTGTTTGCCCTGCTGTGCTCGGTCAGCCTGCTACCAACCATCAATGCCTACAAGTATGTGTGATTCTGTTCCAACCGATGTCTATGACTACTATAGGTATGTGCTGTATCTGATTACTATAATTATGTGCTGTATATGATTGATCAGGATGTGTGATTCTGCAATCGTTGTCTATGATTGCTATAAATAAGTGCTGTATATGATTGCTATCAGTATGTGTGATTCTGTTCCAACCGTTGTCTATGACTACTATAAGTATGTGCTGTATATGATTGCTATCAGTATGTGTGATTCTGTTCCAACCGTTGTCTATGACTACTATAAATAAGTGCTGTATATGATTATTATAATTATGTGCTGTATATGACTACTATAATTATGTGCTGTATATGATTACTATAATTATGTGCTGTATATGATTGATCAGTATGTGTGATTCTGTTACAATCGTTAACTATGATTGCTATAAATAAGTGCTGTATATGATTGCTATTGGTATGTGCGATTCTGTTCCAATCGCTGTCTTATGATTCCTGTAAACAAGTGCTGTACGTGATTCCTATTGATTCCGTTTCAATCGTTGTCTATGATTACTACAAGTATGTGCTGTATATGATTGCTATCAGTATGTGGGATTCCGTTTCAATCGTTGTCTGTGATGCCTATCAGTATGCGAGGGGTTGTTTCAAGTGTTATCTGTGGTGTGTTTTCAAGTTCACAGAAGTGTCAGGTAGTACCACACACAATGGCAGTCATACGACTGCTGTGTGCCGTGCATAGAAATAAACGTTTGAACGTTAACGCACATCAATGCAACGCTTTCACATGGATGCTCGGGTCACCGGGTGGTACGACAAATGCCGTCCGTTAGGTAAGTTAGATATCTAATCCTGCACACAACACTTAGATCCCGCTTGCAACCAGCACACCCACTCTTTGGAATAATCATAGACTTACTGTCTACGGCATTTGCTCACCTAGAGTCTATCATAGAGATCAGAGTCCACTCTTGGGTCTGCACCGGATCCCGCGTGTAGTTGTGCTTGGCTGTCAACCGAGGATGGTTGTCTGCTCATGTTTACCTATGCTTGTCTTCATTTCATTATGTTTACCTACTTTTTTCCTGCGTTTAATTACGTTTACCTACTCGTATTGCATATTCCTGTGAACTGTTGTCCCGCATTCTAGTGGCAGTATGGGAAGAGCCCCCTGCGTACATCTATATCGGCAACATTTCGCCCACAATCTCAAGCCGTCACTTAGATACACCGCCTGTCCCAAGAAATGGGTTCGGAATCTATTGGCGTCACCACTAGAACGCCACTAGACCTACCTACCAATTGTTTTTTCTCTTTTCATTTTTTAGTCCAGTATTGCCTCCATAGCAACCGGTTTTTCTCTCTCTCATCTTATACTGTCCGGTATTGTCTTCATAGCAACCAATTGTTTTATCGTTCATCTTTTACTGTGCAGTATTGTTTCCATAGCAACCAACTATTTTTTCTTCCATACTTCACAGTATAGTCTCCTCGCGAAGGGCAAAGGAAGGTCAGCCGCAAATGCCCCCACAGCTGTCGCCACACAAACGGTTCAAGCGCTACATAGTCACTGCGTGGGTGGCCAGCGTGGTTCTGGGCATTCAGCTGTTCCTGTTCCAGGTTATTGTAGTCACGTAAGTACTGCTGAAGTGGTTCCTTATCCTCAATGTGTGTAATAGCATGTACCATACATGTACATGCGCTTGTGTGTGTTGTACAATGTACCATGCACGTACATGCGCGTGTAAGTATATGCTTAGTCACGGCGTGGGTGGCCAACGTGATTCTGGGCATTCAACTGTTCCTGTTGCAGGTTATAGTAAACATGTGCTTCTGTCCACCCGATTCTTCTCATATACCGACGATGTTGACCAAAACGTTACGTATATGAAAGTCGAGATATATGCGTTCTTACTGAACTAGAGGCCGGTGTAATTTGGCCTTCCATCTGTTTCTGTTGAGATTATTATAGTCTCATACGCGTTGCTCATCTCTTTTTCGCATGGAAAACGTGCGTTAGAATGTAAGTTGGCTTAGAGAGTGTCAAGTATTCGCTTTAACACTATGCGGCATGTACGTGTGATTCTGGACCTCTAGCAGGTTCGGTTCGAGAATATAATGGTCGCTGATTCTATATATGAACATAA